ATGACCCACTCATGTTTTAAAATGCTTATCAGCTCTGTATGGAGAGGAGCGAATACTGTTCTGCAAGAGGTGATTGATGACAGAATTACAAATGGAAGAGTCATGATGATTAGCAGAAGCTGGAATGGAAGATGGATAAGAGAAAATGAATTATATTGGAGACGAAATGTATTATTACAAAAGAAAAATATCATACTAACTGAAGGGAGAAAGAGGTTGACAAGAGGTTGAATAAAACCAACACTAAAGTATAATGTTTTGCTTTCAGTTCCCCTTTTCCTTTTCATTTCACTATCCATGCTTCTTCATGATTTTCCACGTTTCTTTCCTTCCATCTGTCAGAGCAGAGCTGGATCTTTCATGTATGTGGATTAACGTTGCTCTTGCTGTTTCTAGCAGGAGAGAAAACAACCCACTAACCTTTACCCAACTTTCAGTTAGAGGAAGTAACATTGCCCCAGGCCCAATGCCAATTAGAATCCAGAGATTTCCTTTTCAAACACAACATGTGATGTTGTAGCTCTTCAGCAGATATTATTGCGTTTAAAAGCATTTCACAGATATTAAAGAGTTATTTTTCACCCAACCTATGTCTTTCTTAGAACCTGTGAAACTGTTTAGAACCAGAATTTTCAATAATTATTCAGTCTTTATGACTATAGTGCATCTCTATGACAGGTACCTCCCTTTGCCGGAGGTATCTCTAGCCTTAGAAAGTTTGCTTGGACCCCAAATCTAAGAAGTCTGCAGCTACACTAGGAATAGGAAACCCATGAGCAGACCCACTAAGGCCTTGGCCCTCTTGCTTGAATCCAAGCAAGCCCCAAACATCCTTCTCTTGCTCTGCCGAACTCAAGATGGCCAGTCGATAAGTGGTGGTGCAGTCTGCCACCGCGTTAGGAAGCCAAACAGAAAGAAAAGAAACTGCTGCCCAGTGAGGAGGCCAGAAGGTAACCAAAGGTTGGGTAGAAGGTAGCAATGACGTGCCTAGGCTCTACGCAGGGATAAAAGAAGTGTTTGCTCAGGGTGGGCTACCTGTGGCCGTACTCCCCAGCCAGAGGGAATGAGGAGCCCGTCCCATCCAGGCCTGTCATGATTTAGAGAAATCCTTGGCAGCCCGGCCCTGGGACCCTGCCGAGTCCTGGGAGTGATGCCTCCAGGCCTGCTGGGAAGCTCTGGTGCACGCCTTCAGGTGTCCTTACGAGCTATCGGGGGAATCCAGCAGCCCAACAGAGGCAAGGTCAGTGTCCAGGCTGAGCTTGTGTTCCCAGCCTGCATACACAACACATGTACACACACCTATGCACGTATGTGCCAGCCACGCACGTCAGCACAGACGCGCTCCACACACACCACCAACACTGGCCTCAGCTCCTGTCTCTGATCATGACGGAGATCCACAGTGTGCAGCATGGATCCCTCCTGTAGCAGGGCTACTCAGTCCACCCAGTAGCAGCTCCTTGATCCCAGTTTCCCCAGGTGCTGGCACCTGGACGTAGCAACCCCTGAGGCCACAGCCATGCTGCAGTTGCCGGGACAGACCTCTCGCTCGCAGGTACACCCACAGATCGCGCTGTGGAAGGTGGCTGGGACTCTCCTGATCCCTCCAGTAGCCAACTCACCCTTGTTTTCACCCTCAGGGGCATGCATGGGCATACATGTGGCACCTTCATTGTGGCCAGTGATCATGAACTCATTCACATGCCCTCACTCACTCCAGTTGGATTCACTCACTCTGGTCTTTCCCGTCCTGGTGCTTGGACCTCCATCATGAAAAATGTGCACCAAATAGAACAGAACAGAACAGCGTGTCCTTCATGCCAGAAAACAGTGAGGGCAAACTGCACAAAAGAAGTGCAGGGCATGGCCAGAACACTATACTGGTGTTCTGGGTAATGGGTATAAATTGAAATCAGGGAGGTTTAGATTAGATGTCAGGAAGAAATTCTTCACAGAGAGGGTGGGGAGGCACTGGAACAGGTTGCCCAGAGAAGCTGTGGATGCCCCATCCCTGGAAGTGTTCAAGGCCAGGCTGGATGAGGCGTGGAGCAACCTGGTCTAGTGCAAGGTGTCCCTGCCCATGGCAGGGGGGGTGGAACTGGATGATCTTTAAGGTCCCTTCCAACCGTAACCATTCTATGATTCTATGATTCTATACTGATCAGCAACCTCTTTACATGCTACCTGCCCCTTTTATCCCTTTATCTATTTTCTCACATTTGTTTCTCCCTAAACCACCTAGATCCTTCCCTTTCCCTGCTGTTGGTTCTTCCCCTAAACATCACATAAATCTCGTGCAATGCCCAAATACTCCCTTGCATCCGATAATGGATCTCATACCCCTAGGCAGTAACTGCTCCTTCAGTTATGAAACTGCTTCTGAAAGCCTCTCCCCCTGACTGATCTTGGTGGGCTTTCACCTGGACCCTGGGGCTGAGGCTCCCCGGGAGGGGCCCGGACGGGGTGTCCCTTCCTCTGAGTCCTTCATTCGGGTCCCCGCCTGCCCTCGTGCCCCTGTGCTCCTCGGGGCGTGTGGCCACGGGCCTTGGGTGGGCTGACGGCTCCTGCGATGGGCCTGGGTGCAGCGGGGCAGGGCCGTTTGGGATCCCCCTCCTGCCGGCGTCTCCCCGTGCCCCTCGGCGGGTGTGGGGTGAGCTGGCAGCACACACCCTAACGTTATGCTCTGTGAAGGGGGATGCCTGCAGATGGGAGCCAAACGATCTGATCGGAATTTAACACTGATTTAGGTCTACACTCATAGTTCATGCAGTGATGGTGGTTAGTAGAAATCGCAATTAGAACTATATGATTGAGCTCAGTAAGGCCAAATGCAGGCATGTGCTTGTCAAGGGAATCAGTCAAGAGGATCACAACCTTGTAAAGTGGTCTTCGTCCTGCTCATCACAGCCATGTCCTGCCCCCTCCTGAAGTATGGCTGTGTCTGACCCCTGCTCACCTTTGTAGTATACAGTACAGGAACGTCCTTTTTCTTTCAAGTTCCCTGAGTTGCCAGGAACTGCACCAGCAGCTTTATTCAGCCTAATCAGAGGCGTACGGCGAAGCCATTAAAACACTTGGTTCTAATTATCCTGGTGAACAGGCACATACTTCAAGTGTGAAGGGGAAAGTATACCTTGGTTCTTTCAGAGAGATCATCTTGCACAGCGGAAAGTGGTGAGATGTGAAGGTGTGGTGGACACCAGCTCAAATACCACTTGCTTTCTGCTGGATTTCCTCTTGCCATATTTAGCCTTTTTAAGGGACCCAATTATTTTTTTGCATTTTGAATTCTAGCTGATGTGTGCCCCAGGCTTCTCACCCGTAAGTGCCTACGTGCCTTCTGTGGGCCTGTTTAGGGTGGAGCACAGCATCTCATTTCCACCTGGGAAGTGCAGTGATGAACCCATGTAAACGTGCCAGAGCTGCTAGAACGAGCAAGGGCAGGTTACATATGTCTGTGGAAGAGAAATTTGCTATAAGGAGTAAATAAAAAGCTAAAAAATTAAAATAGAACCATTTACATTCAATGGCATGAATTGATCCTAGGAATAGATGATCACTTTGGGGGCTGTATTTCTTGCCAGGTTCCAAAAGGCTCAGGTTTAAACCCAGTACAACCTTTCCTCCATGACATGGGAGCAAATAACTTTTAACAGTTTGAAGATGGCACAGAGGCTGAAGGCACAGTCATAGAATCATAGAATCATAGAATGGTTAGGGTTGGAAAGGACCTTAAAGATCATCTAGTTCCAACCCCCCTGCCATAGGCAGGGACACCTTCCACTAGACCAGGTTGCTCCAAGCCTCATCCAGCCTGGCCTTGGACACTTCCAGGGATGGGGCATCCACAGCTTCTCTGGGCAACCTGTCCCAGTGCCTCCCCACCCTCTCTGGGAAGAATTTCTTCCTGATATCTAATCTAAACCTCCCTGTTTTCCATTTGTACCCATTACCCCTTGTCCATTACCCTACCAGTCAATGGCTAACAGGACAGAGCAGTCACACACAGTATTTAAAGTGTGTTACTTTGCACTTAGTTTCACTTTTAAAACAATTTAAACTTATTTAATAATATTAACCTTTATCTTTCTTCATTCGATGCTATAATTTCTATTTTATGTTATTAATATTTAATTTTACTTGATCCTTTAAATTGTATTAAAATGCATCTAAAACCAAATGGCACAGGCCGTGCTTTTGAATGGGTGACGATCCCAGAAAGCTGTGCGTGTATAGGGCTCTAAGGGAACAAACAGCTGAATGTGAGAATCTACTGCAGGGTCATGGCATATTGGGTTAATGTGATGAGGAGCAGCGAGTAAGTTTTACCTTTATTAGCAGAATGGGTGAGAGCAGTCCTGCACTACTGTGGAAGCTTCTGTGTCCAAATTTCAAAGAACAAGAAAATTTGAGATGTCTTTTAAAAAGAGACACAGATTTATTAAGGGGACTGGAAGAATGCTCTACAGTGAAACCTAAAGATATCAGTCTGTTTAGTTTGTCCAGAAGAAAAGCAAGTGTATGAACAACTTTCCTGAAAAGTAATGGCAGATATTAAAAGGATCTTTAATCATGCTGAGAACGGCAAAGCAAGGGCACCAGCAGCTCTAGGTTGATGTCAGACCAATTCAGATTATAAAGGAGAAATGTCTTTTTAAGTGATGATGGTTTAATGTTGGAATGGGATATCAAACGAGTTGGTTCTTTCTCAGTCATACATCATGAGTAGTTGCTTTTTTCCTGGGGAGCTGGGCTTTAGCCAAGCATACATAGTGCTTGAGCAAACCGCAAATAACTGGTCTTCATATGGAGATAACTGTGTGAAATATAATGGTTGATGCTGTACGGGTGCTCTGATTAAAATCAGAAGGTATGATTTAAGACTATCGTGGCCTTCAACTCAGTGATTCTCCTGTATCTGGAGCTGACTTGGCTTAAGACTGCTAGAACAAATTGTAGTGCCATTCAGCAGCCTGACTAGATCTGTTCCCACAGGAAACGAGGTGATTGCAGTAGACTGGAAGGGACTGAAAGATGTGGACCAAATCAATATGGACAGCACCAGTTCACTGCATGGCAACAGCTTCCATCGACCTTCCACTGAGGTGAGCGTCTGCCCCAGATGCACTTACCCAGGGGGATCAGAAAGTTTCAGGCCTTTCTGAGTCCCTAAGTGGGTGTTTTGCATCACTGGGGCATTGTCTGGGAGAGGACCAGAACGCCAGTGTGCACCCGAGGATCAGACTTCCATATCTGTGCGGTTTGGCTGGCATCGAATAGCGTTGAGTCAGTCCCCTCAGAACATCCATACTGAGTAAGAATTTGCAAATGAAAGTGCTTTTAACCACTCATGACTGGAGTGGAACAGAACATGGATAAAACATGGCAGTTCTGACAAGCCTGTAGGTCTGCGTTCCTCAAATAATGGATTCACTGCAATGTCCAGCGCTACGTCTGTCCCAGCTCCTGCAGCACAGCCGTGAAATCTTTTGAAGAAACACATTTGTCTCTAGTTTGATTTTTAGGGATGCATTCACGGGTAACTCGCTGCCAATTGATTTACCACGCAGTATCTCCAGGGCTGGTTCATTTGCAGTTCTGAATTATTGCAGTGACTGCCATTTTAGATACCTGAATTTTCAGCTCTGTAACGTTCAGGGTACGCAGCCATGCTCAAAGCTATTTTAAATGCCTAATATTTGAGGAATCACAAATAATGTTCACAAATAACGTTAACAAATAACATAGAATTTGAACTTCAAGGAACTTGGAATTTCACAGAAGCCCAGCAGAAACCGTGGGGCCCAAACTTGTGTGGAAAAGTCAGTTAAATGAAATGCAGATCTAAAAGTCAATGAGCATAAACTATGCCTCAGAGAGCATGTTGATGTAGGGGAATGGATGTCTTAGGTGTAACTGATTCATCTAAATTTTCCTGAGTGTCCACATCCCCAAAACCAAGTTGTTGAGATGTGAGTCCTCCCTGCTGGAAGTGATGCACTGTGAATTCGTACTGTAGTAGCTGCTATGGGAAGCGGATCTGGTTTTCAGGGGGAAAGTGGCTCAGAATGGACAAACTGAAAGGATACAAGAGAAAATTTCAGTAGAAAATAATTCTGTAACTTATACGCAAAATCCGTAGGTATTGTAGCTCCTCCTTGTGTTAGCCTCAAAGCGATGCAACTCCCACGCAGGGGTGCCAGCATGGCAACATTGAGCGAGCAGGAGTTCGGGTGGGAGATGGAGAAACTCCAACACTAAGAGCATCGAGTCCAAGCATTGACTCGGTATCACCCTGGTTGCTATTGCACCTTCAGGCGCTGTACTGCAGGCACCATAGTGAACAGCAGGGAATGAAACCAGCTTGAGAGGCATAAGTTTTTTCTTAAAACATCAGATAAAGTCGTGGCTGTTGAAGATGGCAAACTACTAGAGAGATGGATGGCAGTTTGCAGCTTGTTTGTTACTCTAACATTATGTCCTTCTTGGCTTTCTTTAGCAAACACGGACAGATTTCTCCTGGGATGGTATCAACGTGAGTATGCGCCACATCACTGTTCAAATTCCCAGTCATAGGAAGACCAGGGTTTGTCTGCCGTTGGATACAGCGAAGGCCAGAATGGAAACATGACTGAAAGTCTGTAGTGCCACTGGAATTCTGGGAATTGTCTAAGATTCGAGGATGGTGATGAATTTTTGTTTGCCTCTGGGTCTTTTGCTGTCTGGCAGGTGGCTATTCTGATGTCACCTTTGGGACAAATGTGTGTCATCTCATATATTTTCTTTTTTGAGATTTCCAAGCACTGCTAGATAAAAAAGTGTCCATCCAGCATGTTTGAACAAACAGAATTCCTTGATTAGAGCAACATTTGATCTTCTCCGAGAGTTTGGGAGAAATGTATCCCTCATTTTCAGTTGCATACAGAAGTAAAAGGGTTCCTAATGTCCCCTGGGGAATATGGTCAGCACCAGTTAACTTCAGTTAACAAGCTGGAGAAGAAACAAGCAACATTTTAATAACACATGTTCCTTGTTGCTCTTAATGCCTATGCCATGAAAAAAGAATTTCTTTTTTTCCAAAATGCATGCTAGTGCTACCATACTGTTTTTTCTGCTCCGGAGGCTTAAAAATGTGTTCACATAAATTAGCTTTGATAGTTTTGTACACTTGGAAAGGCAGGATAAGAAGCTGTATTTTTGGTAGTATAAGCATTTTCAAATTCCAGATACTTTCAAAGATTTTAAATGGCGGCCGTTTTCTGGTTCCCTGTGCTTTGAAAGCACTTGGACCATTGAATATTCAGGGGACTTACATTTTTAACTAACCCTTGCCCTACTGACATCTCTTCCATTGTGGGACTTAAGGCTTGGGATCTTTTGCCTAGGCTCAATTAGAGAAACAAATTGTGCAGGAAAATTAAGGTGCAAGCAACAACTGCCTAGAAGAAATTTGGCAGGTTTTTCCTCACTGCACATCTGTCTAGCTGAAAACAAGGTACACGAAGTCATGTTTCCTTAAAGATAGTAGAAGACAGTTTGCTCACTTGCAGCTTCCCATTTTCCAATCCATTCTGAATCCATGGAGCTCTTTCATAATGCAGCTCTTTCTCAGTGTTACTCCATAGATCTTTGGTGCCAAAACTGGGTCATGAATTTTCTTCCCTTTCCATTCATTCCTGCCTTCATGTCATAGCTCTCCAACCTTGTAGTGGTAGAGATGTTCTGCAGTTTACTTTATTTTCTGGATGATTTCCATGAGGTGGCAAACAACACAGCCCCCAGGCTCTCTTGAAATAAATGGCTGGATACTGAACAGCAGCGCCCAGGCAGGAGTGACCAGTGGGGGCATAGATGGATGTTCTTCAACCAACTTCATCACCAAAGGAGATGCATCGTGGAACAAGGGCTGTGTTCTCAGCTACACTTGCACTTTTTACTGTTCTTCCCCTGCTTCCTGATTTGTTCAGCTCATGTATTACACACAGACATTCCTGGCTCCAAAGTTACAGGATGACTTAGCTGCTGCATTTACACTCAGTTTCCAGAGAAATCCACCTCTCATATTTTGGCAATTGACTGGGATTATATGCAGCTCAACATCTTTACAATGCCTTCCGTTGCCTCCAAGTATTTGACTGCCTAGTTGTTGCTTCACTCATCTTTCATGAGGTTTGTGCCAATGACTTAATGCTTGCTTCATGTTAGGATTTAAAATTTCCAGTGTCATGGTCACTACTTTTGAGTACCTTTGTGTTTGAAACATGCTGGACTTGATTTTCAGAGAGGTTGAGATGAAGAGGAGAAGCAATGCTTGTTTAGCCCATGTGTAAAATTAAGCCTCATATGCCAGATGCCTGGCATCTCTGAAGAAGCATGAGGAAGTCCATCTTGAGGATTTGTGTTTCATAATGATGTTTGTGACTGCTGCTTGTCCCACTAGCTTCCTGTCCTTGTTATTCAGGGATTGATGATGGACATGGAGAAGACTGTAAAGGGAATTAAACAGAACTGTAGACCTCCTTTCTTTACAGGCAGTTGTAGGTGCTTCAAACAGGATGCATCACTGATACAGTCATGTCCATTTTATTAAGGACATAGGAGAAAAAATGGAAACCAAAAGTAACATATAAAAATTAGTATCTGTAGTATGATGTGTATGTGGTGCATTACTGTCTCTTGCCTATCACATTTTCAGCTCCCCATCATTGTAAGCTCCCTGAATGGTCCATCAGCCATGTCTTGAATCTCTAACAAAGAGCGGGGAACAGTGCAGCATGTCTGGGGGGGAGTGGCAGCAGGCAAAGGGAGGGTTCTCACAGCCTGCTTCTGCCTCTCCCACTGACCTTCCCTCACCCAGTCCCAGTGCTGTGCAATACATACAATGACCTGGCTACATAGCCTCTAATTTTTCCTTCCCTTCTTTTGTTCTTTTTCTTGTCGCTTGCTCCTGCTCCTACTTTCTGGAATCCTTATACTGATTTCTCACCTCAGTTAGCTTCCTTTTCTCCTTCGTGTATGTAATTTCTTCATATTCTCTCTCTTTTCAGCTCTCCATGGAAGATACGACCTCCATCCTCCCCAAGCTGAAACGCAACTCCAATGCTTATGGAATTGGGGCTTTGGCTAAATCATCTTTCTCTGGTGAGGTCCTCAAAATTTGGGTTTATCCATGGCAGCTCCTCTGCACAGGATTCTGTGCCTTTTCCCATTTCTCCCTGTTGCTCTCCCAACTGCTCCTTTCAGACTCTTGCCTTTTCGAGGCCTTAGAGGAGTCTCCACCCCCATGGTTCTAGATACAGAAATCTCTTAGCTGTTGCCCTTTCAAAGAACAGATTTATCTTCCTCCTGTTGGCTTCCCACCGTGCACCCCAGCTCAGACATCTTCAGTTGCTTCCTCTCAGTCTTGGGTTTAATCCCATCCTCTATTTCTTAGTGTGTTCACTTCCAGGCTTCATCCCTTCATGCCCAACCCTGTCCTAAAAGGATTCTAGGCAAGGAAGGAAATGATCTTTCATATTTGGGTTGCTGAGAGCCAGTCCAAGGAAAGATGGAGAAACTCTCCTGGAGAGTGATACAGTGAAAGGTGGGGGACGCCCAACCCAAGTCCTGAATCCTGTCAGGAAAGGAGGGGAGAAGCTCCACTTCCGAGAGAGGTAAACAGCGTGGCAGACAACCCTGGAGCTGTGTCATAGCCCCCCCTTGTTTTCTAATGTCTGGCCCCTTAGGGATATCTCGCAGCATGAAGGACCATGTCACAAAGCCAACGGCTATGGGCCAAGGCCGTGTGGCTCACATGATCGAATGGCAAGGCTGGGGCAAAGGTAACAGCCAGCAGCAGCACACGCATGAGACAGCACGCAAAGACGCGGATGCCTACTCGGACCTGAGCGACGGTGAAAAGGAGGCCCGGTTCCTTGCAGGTAGTGCTCACTTTCTGGCATGTGGCTTGGATTGGTTGGGATGTCCCAGAACAGGATCCCTGAGAGACCAAAGTGCAGGAAGCTGAAAAACACACTCAGGAAAGCCTCTGGGGGGTTCACATGGCAGAAGGAGATGAGGGACTGTGGTTAGGGTATTGCCAATGGAATTCAAAGTGGAGAGGGTGAGGGCCAGCTGGATGATGGGCTGATACAGGACAAGAGTGGGACAGTGTGACCAAGAGATGAGGTTAAAGAGGGTGGTGGGAAGCGGAGACTTTCACACATCCCTGCTTCCCTCCCTGTCTCCTTTGGCACAGGAGTGATGGAGCAATTTGCTATTTCGGAGGCAACTCTGATGGCCTGGTCCTCCATGGATGGTGAGGATGTGAGTGTAAACTCAAACCAGGAGAACCCAGCAGGCAACTACTCTGAGAACTACCAGGAGCTAATGGAGAGCCAGGGTGAGTTCCAGAGCCTCTGGCTAATCTTGAAACACCCCTTTTCTGCTCTTGCTGGCATGTTTTTTTTTTCCCTGTTTTATTCTGTAGCCTCAATTTTTGGGATTGGGATCTAGCAGAGGCATCACCTATTTGTGGAGCTGTCCAAGGAGTCTAATCTCAACAGGGAGGCTCCTTTGCCATTTTTGGGCAGAACTGTGGAAAGCTACCAGCTCTTGCGGTCAATAGTGGATCTGCCTAATGCTTAGAACTGGCTTTACTCTTCACCCTCCTTGCCTCTAAAGGATTTATCTACCCTGTGCAGTACAGTGCCGTGCACAGGCACCCAAGCCATCTATCGGAATGAGTCAGCTTGGCCTAGGGAGGGTGTCTAACTGTGTGTTTTTTCCCTTCTTTACTTGCAGAGCATATGGTCCAGACGCAGTACGACAGCTGGCCTCATTCCTATGTCTCGCAGGGCATGTATTGCTTAGGTTCATCTGATGCCTGGGAGACCAGTGACCAGTCCCTCATTGCTTCCCCAGCAACGGGCTCCTACTTGGGCCAGAATTTTGACGAGTCCCAGACAAACCTTCAGGAAAGCATTTTGATTCAGAGCAGCCTTCTCCAGCAGCAACAGCTGCAGCAACAGCGGCAGGAGCAGAACTTCATCCAGAGCACGGGGCTGGTCCACGTGTGGCCCCTGCAGACTGCTCAGGGTGGGGGTGGGGCCGAGTCCAGTGCATACATGGAGGACCATATTGAGGATGAAGGCAACCCACGGCTGGAGAAGGCTCCTCTCCTAAACAAGAAGCCCTCTCCGGAGGAGGATGACGCAGTGTGCCGGGACCTGGAATCACTGTCTCCTCGAGAGGAGATGGAACATGCTGCACTGAGTCGCAAAGTCTCAGATGTCACCTCTTCTGGGGTGCAGTCCTTCGATGAGGAAGAGGGAGAAACAAACAACTGATGCTTTCTGTGAAGTTTTCGTCACTGCTGAACAAAGAAAGGGATGGCAAGGAAAGAAACGACAGTGATTCTTCTCTCCAGCTTCCTGTACTTCTGAGCAGACGCACCTTCCATTCCTGACATTTAATTATTTTTTTAAACAAGAGGAAAATCTCAAAGTGATTGACACATGAAGACCTCTTCTTCCCCTCCACCACGCACACGTATTTTTGATTTTCATTGCTCTGGGCAACACCTGTGAGGTGCTTGAAGAGATCTGGATTGCTAAATCATTTCTAAATGATTTTTTTAATACAGAGTCTTGGCTGTGGATACAAACTCTTCTGGTACTGGGGATGTGGCTCATGAGAGGCTTGGTATAGGGAGAAGCTATGTGGCTAGAACCTGTCTTGGCAGAATGGATATTGCTCTGTGGACATGGTTTCTTTTGGTAGAATATATGAATATAACCTGGTTTAAAATGAAGATATGGCTTTACAAATGCAGATTGCACTAGTATTGTGATTGTGGCTTATACAGAGGATAAGGCTGTATTCGATACAGACTGTAGAGATGAAAGATTTGCTGTGTAACCAGATCCTCAATAGCACCTTGGTAGGAAATTGTAGGCTCGATGGATACAGACTGTGCTCCGTGAGCATGGGCTGCGCTGCAGGACAGATGTTGTGGCGTGTGGGCATGGATGTACTGCGGCATGGAAGAATGGATGCAGATACAAAACTAACCCTGCTCTCAGATATCCATGCTTTGGTCTCTTTCTAATCTTTCATTTATTTGTTTCTCTCTTTGACATTTCTACCTTCCCAGGAGCTGGCAAGAGTGGCGTGTTCTTTTGGCATTGGGCACTGGATGCCAGTAGAAAGGACATTTTCAGCTACGGAGACGGTCATAAAAAGCTGACTCTTGCAGGGGGCTTGAGAACATGTCCATCTTGGTGCTGCTGCTGTATCCTCCTGTCCTTCCCTTGCCAGCAGTGTGGGGAGACCCAGAGAGTAGGCAGCAGATCCAGGAACAGCGTGTACAGCTAGGAGATCACAGATATCCAGTTTACAGTGGAGTTTTCAGTTTTTGCCTTTTTTTTTTTTTAACCTTTTTATATTGCTGGGTAAGTGTTCCTAACAAACCAGTTAATAGTCGGAAAGGCCTGTACTCCAGTCATCACATAACAGAAATACTGTACCTTTCCCATTTCTGCCACTCCTTCTGCGGTGCCAAATGTAGCTGGAGGAAAAGGGGCGAGAGCAAGTTTTCTCCTCCTATTTATTTCTTCTTCCTGCCTATATTTTCCTTTGTTTTCCTACCCCCGATGCAAATAATGCTCAGCGCTTGGTCTGTTTCTTTTCCCTTCCCATCTCTTATTCAGAAGTGGAGAAAGATGATTTCAGGAATTTTCCCTATTTGTATGAGTGGGTATTTTTGGGGGGAGAGTTGGGGGGGTGTTAAAAAAATATAGTTCATTGACTAGGGGGAATTCAGTCTCTTGCAATTCCTTGCCATGTTTCTACAGACCTCCTTTTGGCAGGGAGGGGTTTTGAAAGGAAATTGAACAAACTGTCTCCTCTCAAGCTCTCAGCAGAAAACAAAGAGGAGCAAAAGCAAAAAAAAAACCCCAAAACACCACACCAAACGTGCAAGGCTATCGATTTTGCTAGAGGACTGAACAGAACCAGCAGAGATTACCCAAGGGCTGAGTTTTAGTTGCAATACCTCTTGCAAGGAAGCATCAGCAAAGCGTGGGTTTAGATCCGATGCTGGATCTGATGAGCTAGAGAAAGGAATTTGCCTGGGCACTGCCATGCTGTCCCAGGGGCAGCTCTTTCTCAGTTGCTCTGACTCACATCTGCTCTGTTTAATTCATGATGTATTTGTCTCTTCTTTGCCTCCTCTTCAGGCTTGGTGTGTGTATTTTTTGGATGGCAGGAGAGTCATACATGCTTCTTTCCTGATGCAGGTTTAGACAAAGCATATTTGCAGGGAAGAATGGCTGAAGAGAGTAAAATGTGTCTGAAATACTATCAGTTGTCAGAGTTCAGAGAGCTCCTGGCAAACAAAGCAGATGGTGTCCAGGAATTATGAAAAGTCCGAATGGGATTCTCAGGTAGAACTTTACTCCACTCAGCTTTCTCCCACTTACACAGGCAGCTGCACGAAGAGGGTCCCCCTAAGTCTTTCCAGCCAAGTCCACTTCAAGCAGGTCTGTCTTCCCTCTCCATTGTACCTCTAAAGGAAAGACCTTCGGGATATTTAAGGAAGACTGGTAATTTAGTGTAGGTAAGAGAGAAAAGTTTTTGTGACCACCTTTTTTTTTTACCCATTTGCTTGGGCTTGCTCACACCTCCCTGAGGAGGTAGCTCTTCTCCTGAATGATGACGTTTCCATGTATCTTTAAAGATGTTTACACATTCAGGTGCTAACCTCCCCTGGGCAGGAGGGCTTGATAAAAATGACCTCCTACAGTTCTTGCAGGGTCAGTGTTAGCTCCTTGTCCTGAACTGGTTTGGGTCTAGCCATGAAGCGGGGCCTAGGAAATCACACTAGCCAGAACAGGGAGAACGGGCAAGTGCCAAGAGCACCTCAGCAGATGACTAAGGAGTAAGTGTTAACCTTTTCTTATTTCTTTTTTAAAAAGCCTTCAGGGAAACAAAAATGGTTGCTTATGATCCTTTGTGGGAGAAGATTTGGGTGGCTGGTTGCTTTTTTTCTCCAAACCATTTGGTTCCCACGTGCCTCTCCAGGAGCAACCTGGATGTTTATGGTAACTTTCAGAATAGCTTCGAATGATCCTTCCGTGTTGTTTACAGGATTTGTACAAGTGGGTCAACTGGTCCAGGGCTTATTTTTCTTTTAATGTGGACATGTGATACATTTACTACGATGTCTGATGTACATTGTCTCCATGCAAAGCCACGACAGGGGATTTCTACATGGGAAAAAAGTGTGAAAAAAATTGACCTTATAGAAAATTCTATGGAGTTCAATGGGAAAAGAAGAGAGTAGAGTTTTCTAACCTCTGTGGAATGGGATAGAGAATTATCTATACTCTGCTGTACAATTCCATAACCTGCTGTCTAGAAACCTGTGGATAGACTCTCATTCTCTGTGAATTCTGACAGGTTCGAAGACTCCTCTCCATATAAACTTTCAAGCTTACTAAATCCTATAAAATTTTTTTTTCATAAAGGTCTTGACTTTCTGTGAATAATAAAATTTCAGCCTTTTTCTGAAAAAAAGAAAAAGGCTGTTTTCTATGGCCTCTCCACAATTCAAGAGAGAAATCTGTCTCTGCAGTTGCCAGGAGGTTGACTGGAGAGAGCAGGTCTGCCCAGCACCACTTCTGACCTGAGTGAGCATCCGGAGCTCAACTGGAAAGACAGGCTGAATCTCTTTAAAAATGGAAAATGGTTTGTATAACCTGGCCTTTACTTACATAACGGGCCTGCTGCTTGTGTGTATCAGGGAGAAGGACCTGGAACCTACTGTACATTTCCCAGAAAAGCTGTTGTTATATAGCTACACCTATTGAAGCATACGGACAGCACAGGTGCTCTGTGAGCAAAATCTGGCCTGAGTTCCTTTATCCTGGTGAGGAGGGATGAATTGGAGAGAGTCCAACCAAATACTCAGAGCCCAAATTGAACTCGTGAGGCTGAAAAGAAGAAGGAAAAGTAAGATCAGTATCCATGATCTACAGTTACTAGGAAACTGAGCCCTGCTTTTCATTTACACAAACCCTTTGTAAAGCAGAGCTGCACTATGTAAAAATTTTTTATTTTCTCAAAGCAGCAGAGGTTTAAAATTCCCATCTTCCCCCCTGGCTTCCTACCCTTTGTCTTCAACAGGAACTCGTTGAAGTTAGTGTGCTGAACGTGAATGAAAGCTTAAACCCAGTGACCCTAATTGAAAAAGATCTCAGATTCCACTGCAAGAATATTCCCTCTTGATCCTTTTCCCGTGATTTCTAGCATCTGATCAGTCACACTATTTTATAAGTTTTCTTTTATATAAACCTTGAGCTTTCTTTACAAGCCTTATGAGTTCTCTTCAACTCCATTACCTCAGGCTTTGGGATGGAGAAGTCAATCTGCTTCTTTCAGTTTCTGTGCCTCTAAATCACCTTCTGGGAAGCTGCTGACAAGTCAGCCACCTGCTTTTCCCCCTTAAAAACTTTAACCCTTTCACAATAGGCTGGCAGCAGAGAAGAGAGTTTAACCATACCTCTAAGCTGATGAAATGATGAGGCAGCCCTCTGCCCTGACTCTGCTCACCTCCCACAGTCCCCGTGCAGGTGCTGATGCACAGCTGACCCCACAGTAAGCCTATTTACCCTACTATACTTTTTACCCTATTATAAACTTTTACCCTACTACAGAATTGAGCAGGGGGAGAGAGAGCGCTATTCTCAGCAGCTGGCCATGATACCAGGTTAGGGAAACTGTGAAAGTGCACTCTGAAATGGCATCTTCATGACGAGTCTAAGCTGCTACAGGGAGCTGTCATGCCTCCTCCCTCCCGCCACCACCAGCTGTATACTTCTACTGTCTAAGAAGCACCAGTGCTACACTCTTTTGGCTGCTCAGGAACTGGCCCCATTGAAAACTAACTCACTCCCCTATCAAAATAAGGGTTTCAGTGGGATCAGCTCCTTGGATTGTTTGGCTTGGAGAGGCAAGCATCACTGAGGGCTAGTGAAACGTGCAGGTGGTTATGGTAAAGAATATATCTTTGGTTCAGATGCAACTTAAATTGGCATAAGTTGATTGTGATATCTGTCTGAAAAGAATAAACACAGCTGGGGTATCAGGGAGGATACATTTCCCGCTTCCTTCCTTAGTGTTTTTCTTAGAATTTCTAGTATGCTCTTACCAGATTTGGGGTTTTTGTTGTTATTTAATGCCTGTTATTTCTCTCAGTATTCCCTCCCCTTCCACTCCCATCTGAGATAAGCCCTTCCAATCATAGAATTATAGAATCACAGGATGGTTTGGATTGGGAGGGACCTTAAAGACCATCCACTTCCAACCCCCCTGCCATGGGCAGGGACACCTTCCACTAGACCCGGTTGCTCCAAGCCTCATCCAGCCTGGCCTTGGACACTTCCAGGGATGGGGCATCCACAGCTTGTCTGGGCAACCTGTCCCACTGCCTCCCCACCCTCTCCAGGAAGAACTTCTTCCTGATATCCAATCTAAACCTCCCCACTTTCAATTTAAACCCGTTACCCCTTGTCCTGTCACCACAGGCCCTTGTATCAGGCCTGAGGAGATGCGTAAGTTGATAGACAGATGGAATTAATAAAATCGACATGCACAAACCTC